ACACTGAGGGTTGCGATCCGTTGCCGGACACGGAAAAAGACAAAAGAAAAAGAAAAAAAAAATGACAGCTGGTCACAGAAGCAAATAGAATCACTAGGGAATAAAAAGAATGATCTAATTTAATAAATTAAGAATTTTTTTAAAATCCAGAGTGAATTATTTATTATATAATAGGCATCTGTTACAAAATAATGGCCAGAATTAAAACAAATAACGTTTGGGGGCGTAGGGGGAGGATGGTCACACTGGCTTCAGACTCTTTGTCTGAAAATAAGGATAACAATAATAGTTCTCTCATCCACTGTTATGTATGTTGAATAAGTTTTCACAGACAGACACAAGGCAACTTCTACACACATGTGAGTATTTTTACTTGCTTAACTTAAAAGAATTACAAAAATGCAGAGTATGTGATAATATTTTACAGCATTTAAAAATTAAAAGCCTATGTGTGTTTGTTTACATGTATGTTATGAGTTATTGAGAAATTAATTGTTGGCATGGTAACTTCTGCTTCCTTGCCTTTGTGCTATTGTTGACTAAAGAACAAAACAATAATTTCAGTTTCTTCTCAGGGAAATTTCAGTCACATCTTTGAGTGCTAAATTTGGGGTGTCTGTGCTTCAGAGCCATCTAGGAGGATAAGCAGAGTTGTCATGGTGGGGAGGACATAGTAAGTGCCAACCCACAGGGCAAGTATTAGCTCGCCCTTGACTGGAAGGACTGAGGTGTGGCAGGTTCTCTAGACAGCCGAGCGGGCAATCCATTTTCAGGCAAGACCTTTGGAGTCAAATGGCAGAACCTCTGTAGTCTAACACTAGCAGAGCCACATAGAAGAGCTCTGCAGCAAGTAGGCAGTGAAAGAGTAAATGTTGCCAGAGGGGTCCCCAATCTTCTCACGAACTGTACAGGCTTGAAAAAATGACCTGCCCAGGCTTCAAAACTATAGCCCTATTATTTGCTAGAGTGTAGGAAAAAATCATTTTTATAGCGTCATTTTGAAAATATAGTTTTTGCTTAATAATTATTGACCACTTAAATGATTTAACTAGCCAGTATGGGGGTAGGGTTTGACACTCACCAAATCATGCCTAGATTTGTGAGGAAAGTATCTTTGTAACATGTCCAGATACAGAGTTCTTCTGCCAAAGAGATCTCCAGGATACTGATCCAAAATAGCCTGGTAAATCCAGTGGTCTTCTTCACTTAGTTGAAAATTTCTAGAAGCAACAAAAATGTCACAAGATATTGTTGAACAGTCATGGAGTTTGAGAGCCCTCCAACTGTTCAAGCTATGATCATCAAGCAAGTGATGATAACTTCATAAAATGAGGTTTGTAGGTTTTCTTTAATACGTTAGCCAAATTTAATGTCTGTTACAGAAAGCTTCTAAATTCTAATACAATGGGTTGTATCAATCCTTTACTTGGTCTTGCCATGACTTCCAGGCAAAAATTGAAAAAGTTTGACAAGACAATATTTAAAAAAATATTTATTCTATCTTACCTAAAGCAATATTTTAAAAATCATGACCAGTGAATGAAATAAACAGACAATGGAAAATAAATTAGTAAGTATACAGACTTAAAAGGATTTTGCTTATTCAACAAAGTTCCTGTGTCTAGACTGGAGGGAAATACAAATGCAGATAGCTAAATGAACAATTATGTAATACAGACGGACTGAGGAAGGCACTTATTTAAGGTCTGACTTCAAAAGGCAAGTCTAAAGTTGTATTTTACTTTATCCTCTTAATTTCTTGCTTTGTGGGGGTTATATGGGTTGAATGATTGTCCTCTCCAAAGCTTACATGGAAGATTGGTCCCCAATATGTTATTTGAAGGATGGGGTCTTTAAAAGGTGATTGGATCATGAGGATTATGCTTTCATAAATGGATTCATCCATTCATGGATTAATGGGTTAATGGCTTAATGGGTTATCAGGGAGTAGATTCGTGGCTTTATAAGCAAACTGGGTGAACACATTAAAGTGCTCTCACCCAGTCCTTGGGATGTAATTGCCTGAGTCACCATGGGACTCTACTCAGAGCATCTACCAAGAAGAAAGCCCTCATCAGATGTGCTCCCTGGACCATGGACTTCTCAGCCTCCAAAACTGTAGAAATAAATTTCTTTCTTTTTTATAAATGACCCCATTTCAGGTATTCTTTTATAAGCAACAGAAAATGAACTAATACGGGGGGTAATACTAAATATCGGTGGTGAAAAGAATAATAAATGGCATTAAATTTCATATCACTAAAGAAATCATTTGTAGGACCGGCCCCATGGCTCACTTGGGAGAGCGCAGCACTGGTATTGCCGAGGCCGCAGGTTCAGATCCTATATAGGGATGGCTGGTGCACTCACTGATTGAGCGTGGTGCAGACAACACCATGCAGAGGGTTGCAATCCCCTTACCAGTCAAAAAAAAAAAAAAATCATTTGTAAATAGGATCCCTTCAAGTCACTTTCCTAATAACACGTCCAGTATGCTCCAAAATGCTTTGTTCATCTCAGAATACTCATAGGCACTGGCCTGGTTTGTGTTCTATATAAAGTATTAGCAAAGTTCTATGCAGAGTGAAAAGACTTCTATATCAGCTTGAACTCTAAACTTAATTAATGTCTCTTTATAGTCTGAGTTTATTTGCATATTATTGTTCCTGTTTAATAAATTAGAATAATCAAATACAGGTGCAATCAGAGGGAATATTAGCAACAAATATTTCTTTGATCCAAGGTGGAGACTTGCCATTGTTTATTTCTACTATATCAACGGTCTTACACTTTAAAGTTAATTGTGCAATTCAAAGAATTTTTCATATATCATCTATGCCTCTGAAAAATATTTGGCAATTTAAAACGGAATAAAACACCCTTTAAATCAGTGATACTAAGGGGAATTCCGTTGTCATACAAGATTATCTCATTTCTTTTTTTTTTTTTTTTCCTTTTTGTCTTTTTTCATGTCCAGCAACGGATCGCAACCCTCAGTGTCGCACCCGTACCGGAC